GCTTATATTATATAGTTATGGGTATGATACGTAGTTTAAAACAAATGTAAACCAACAATATTTGGGAATAGAGGAGTAGTAAAATTATGAAATTCTGTTCTTAGGGTAATTTCACAAGCTTAGCATAATTACTGTAAACTATTTATTTCCATGATAACATTTATTTATTATAGATCATGTAAATCTATGTGTTGAGGGCTGCTATACGTACGATACTCGTATGACTAACGTTTCCCAGCGAAAGCCCATAGCGTTTTTCAACTGTTTTCTAGTGATGCAACACACGACGTTCAAGTCATATGCATAGTATTTTCCATTTGTTTTGTACTTCGGTTTCCTGCCAAATAGGTAATCTGAACACCTATATATCCAAGTATGTGCATAAAATAATTTGCTAAAATAGAGAATGGATAGAATATAATATATAGGAAGATAAAAGGTCATGCAACAATGTAGATGATGATTGGTGATTTGGTGGTAAAGCGGTGGCTCAAGTACAAGCGAAAAAGACGGTTAGGGTTGAGCGAATAGGGGGAGGGAAACTCTGACAAATAAGATGAGCACAAACCCTAGCCATATCTATTGCACTAGCTGAAATCTTTGTTTACATACGAACTACTTTCAGAAAATACAATTGAACCTCAACGTATGTTTATAAAAAAAATAACATGTAAACACATTCGGTATAGAAGGAGGTTAAATTCACGCAAATGCACGACGACAATATACGGTAGTTTATTATACTGGAGCTTCAGTTTTTTAAGCAGCTACTTATAACTGCTTGTTGATGATTAGTGACATTATAAAGTTCATTTATTATCTCTGTCATAATGAGTCTTGTGATGAGAAAAATTGATGAGTTGCAACCCGACTAGTGAGGCTTGAAGAAATGCTAGTTTCCATTTTTGATTTTTCGCACATATTATTAGCCACATAAAAAGACAAATTCATCAATTTTGCTCTTGCCCCGGTATTACAAGGATTGAATGAATTTGATTGATCCATATCCTCTTCCACTACTAGGAAAAACATTATCGCAAGCGGCCGAAAACGGTCTTCGCAGGCGGGGCGGCCATCCGCCTGTAAGCAAACGACTGTGAAGATCGCCGATCTTCGCAGGCGGGGCGGCCGTCCGTCTGCGAAGATAGTTTTCGCAGGCGGACGTTGGCTAGTCCGGTCCGCCTACGAAAATAGAAAGTGGCCGCCTGCAAAAAAAAAACATCCGCCTGCGAAGATAGGTAGAAAATTTTAAATTTTAATAATAATTTGCCCGTAAATTATTTTTAAATTATTTAATAGAAGTTCTTGCAGGTAGATTATTATGTACATATATTGGAAGATTATCAAGCACTAGCAAAATGCCCATGCGTTGCACCAGGTAATGATAGGTCTGAACTATTTACCTGAAGAAAATAAGTGGAATTGAGCTGATGGCATATCTTTGCATCTCGTGCACATCTCAGGAACAATTATCCTATCCTATGTGTGAAATGAGTCAAAGTCCCACGACAGCTCCACCGCTAGTGTCTCTTGTCGCTAGTGTGTCTAATATATCGTCTCGTGGAAAATTTTATTTTTTTTACAATCCATAATTTTTATCACAAACAAATATTAACGTGCAAGTAAGCGGCCATGACGACTCTCTTATTTTGAAAGTGCAAGAAGGCTAGTCCAATGTTCTGTGCGACAGTGTTAACAGTAAAATTTGGTAATCGGCAAAGACGTCATCGGCTTAGAATCATTATCGACTGCAGCATCTTGGAATCAGCCGATGGGAGTTATCAAGTCACCAATAGTCGGGTTCCTGCTATATTCGGTTAAGGAAATCAATCTACTAAAGGAAGCTTATCCCTAAGTGACCGAGTTTAAAGAGGATGCGGCATGGCAGTTTATCTATTAATTAGGAATAGTTTGTTAGTTTTCTTTTATCTTTAGGTTAGTTTCTTTCTTGTCCGACAAGGACTTGTATCAACCCATGGGTATAAATATGTACACCCGGGGTCTATGTAATCTATCTTCATGATCAATACAATTCGGCGCATCGCCACCTTTTACCTTTTCTACTTTATTTTATCATCCGGCGGGACTTGGCACCTGACACGGGGCTGCATCGGTGTTCGATCTCCGGCGAAGGGGTAAGTCCAATGCTCCGCCGGCCCAGGCAATTGTATCGTTTACGTCGGCGTCGTTCAAGGCTGCATCAGTACATTCGACCTCTTGGATTACTCTGGTTTGGATGATATACTTGCCTGCCTATTTATCATATGTCTCTGTTAATCTAGTCTTAGCATATCAATTTAGCTCTATCGGCTACTTCTCGTTTTAGGGTTTCTGCCGGTATCGGCTAAATCGCGTTGCTAGATTAGACTAGCTTAGACATCTACCACCCTGAAAACTCAGTCAACGGCTTGATTGTCTAGATATTATGTTTCTTTTCATACTTAGTGCTGCATCAGTTAAGTTTGATCTACTAAGTCGTGCTTAGAACCATAATCTCTAGCCTGCTTCTTGATTGCCAATAAGGGTTTCATCGGGGTTTTAGCCGGTGATTTATCTGGACGTTGCATCGGCTCATAAGGATTGCATATACATATAAGTTGGATTTAGCCGATGACAACAAAGGCTTCACTGTTTAATCTAATCTTGTGGATTTCATGACATCGGACCTCCTGCCGATGTGTGCTTTGACCTTCGGATCGATGCTTATTTATCATATCATTATTTGCTGATTGGTTTATACTGGATTATATTGTTATTTTATTACATCGTCGTCAGCTGATTGCCTTTATATCATTATCTACATTGGACATATAGCCGATTGCTTAAACCCTATCGCTATCGGCTGGTATCGGCATCGACTATTATCGGCATCGGCTGGAACTACTCCATCGGCTTGTCAGCCGATCGGCTGTTTTGATCTACTATTTGCATATCTTGTCAGTTGCAAGATCAAACTGACTGGCACACTCACATCTCACCAATCTTTGGACCTGCACTGGAGTTAAGCAGATCTCCCAGGCCGGTGTGTTCGATTTTTTCGTCAACAGACAGTAATCAATTTCTCCTTGTGCAAGCCCTTCTTGTATTCAGCTATCTCTTTTGGAGTCTTGCCCTTCAGCTGGTCTGACCCTGGTGCTAGCCTCACGGTATGCTGTGTTTGACAGATCCGAGTTGGAGAAGCCGATAGGTTCTTTTTTCTTCTTAGCATCCATGTATTGCATCCTACAAAAGAAGCTTGTTAGTAACAATCACATGGATTTGTATTGTACATACTTTTCATATAATTAATTAAAACTCATCTACTCACATGCACCAAACACCAACATAGTTGACGTTCATCTTATCCTGATGATATATGGCGTGGAGATCTGAGAAATCTAGCCATACGTAACCTTCGGCGCTGAAACAATCTGCCGGTGATCGAGCAGTTATATGGCCGAAGCCTTTTTTGCTAGCATGCATGTAGAAGGTATGTAACCTTCTCATCTCCCATGGTCCTTTGTTTAGTGCCCAATCCGGCAAGAGTGCTTTCCCATGTTCGTACTTTTCCGGGCAATCGTCAGTTACCAAGTATGTTGGCCCGGCTAGTTCAGCGGCCTTCTGGGGGTCATCATCTCTGAGTTTGGCACGTTCCTTACACCCTCTGAAAACAGTTACCATGAAGACGGTTACCAATAACCAGTAGCAGGTTTAAATGGATCATAAGTAGAATTATTTATCCTTGGTCTGTGTGCGAAGATAAAATATGACTATCAAAAGTAGATGGAGGGAGTACTACGATTCATTAATATTTTACATTTCTCGATGCCCATATAGCCAATCTTGTGTGGAAGAATGGAGAGTCACGCATTAAATCCGAGAAAGTCATTAAGATGATAAGTTGTTGGATTGAAATATGCCTATCAAAAATTGATTATCAAAAGTAGATGGAGGGAGTAGTTTGTTACTTCCTTCGTATTATAGCAACCTAATTTTTCTTTATCTCTCTGCCATATAAACATATGCTTTGTCACTTTCTTCATCTCATAATATAACAACCTACTCCCTCTGTCCCATAATATAAGAGATTTTGAGTTTTTGCTTACAATGTTTGACCACTCATCTTATTCAAAAATTTTTGAAATTATTATTTATGTTATTTGTGACTTACCTACAGTACTTTAAGTACAACTTTTCGTTTTTTATATTTGCAAAAAAATTTTGAATAAGACGAATGGTCAAACGTTACAAACAAAAACTCAAAATCCCTTATATTTTGGGACAGAGGGAGTAGTATAGAATAAGGGCCTGTTTAGATCCCCGGTAAAATTTTTCACCCTGTCACATTGAGTGTTTAACACATGCATAAAGTATTAAATATAAACGAAAAAATAACTAATTACACAGATTGCGTGTAAATTGTGAGACAAATCTTTTAAAGCTAATTGATCCATGATTTAACAATGTGGTGCTACAGTAAATATTTGCTAATGATGGATTAATTAGGCTTAATAAATTCGTCTCGTAGTTTACAGCTAGAATATGTAATTTATTTTATTATTAGTCTACGTTTAATACTTTAAATGTGTATTCGTATAAGTTTTGGCGTATCACATCAGATATACGGACACACATTACACATTTGAAGTATTAAACGTAGACTAATAACAAAACAAATTACATAATCCGCATGTAAACTGTGAGACAAATTTATTAATCCTAATTAATCCATAATTAGTAAATATTTACTGTAGCACCATATTGTCAGATCATAACACAATTAGGATTAAAAGATTCGTCTCGTAACTCATACGCAAACTGTGTAATTATTTTTGGGAATTATATATTTTTTAAAAATATTTACGTGTGTTTCGATGTGACGGGACAAAAAAAATTACCGGTTCGTTTCCTTTGTTTATGTAGCCTATAGTGGCAACGCATGCTGACGTTACGGTGTACCGCCGTCGAAAACCACCCTCGCTATCTCTCCGCGTTGTCAGACGCACGCCTCCCACCCCACCCCACCCCACCCCAAACCAACAAACGCCGTGACAAACCGATTCCACGCACAGCACGGAGGTGGGAGAGGACGACACCCCGTCCCCCCCGTGTCCAGCCACCACCACCGCGTCGTCGTCGTCGACCCAGCCATCCATCCCACCCACACGTCACCACCCGCGCATCCTCCCCCCGTGCTGCGGCGGCGGCGGCGGCCGGCGGCCATGGACATGGACAGCGTGGAGTGCCTCTCCCTCCCGGACTCGTCCATGGACGTGGACGACGTCGACGGCGGCGGCTCGGTGCACCACCACCACCACCACCACCACGCCCTCCCGCCTCACCTCCCCGCGGGGGTCGCCGTCGGGGTCGGCCCCGGGGGGCGCGCGTTCCCCAAGGCGAATGTCGCTGGGGTTGGTGGTGGCGGCGCCGCCGGGGCCCCCGCGGCGGGGGGAGCGGTGGCCGGAGGTGGGGGCCCCGGCGGCGGGCCTCCCGCCACCAGCGTGCACGAGCTGCTCGAGTGCCCCGTCTGCACCAACTCCATGTTCCCGCCCATCCACCAGGTGGGTTTGCGCCCCTCTCTCTCTCCCCGCGCCTTCGATTTGGGGGGACGTTCTGTTCTGTAGCGCGCCTGGATTTGAATTGAAATGGGCTTGCGCTTGATTCAGTTGGGTGCGGATTTGTGGGTTTCGATTCGCAAACGCGGGATCTTTGCGGTAGCTTGCTGTCGTTTCGAGTTAATTGGCGTGTTGTTCGCCAATTTGATGCAGTTCGAATTGGGGAAATTATCCCCTCTATATGATTGGGTTGTGCGATTTGGGTAATCTTAGGCTGGGGATTTGAATTAGGCCCATTCGGTTTCGTCGACTCTATTTTCCTCAGCGATTTGGGGGCTTTTTTTGTGAGACATCCTTGCTGATGTGGTTTATTTGAGAAATATTTTAAATGAAACGTAATTTCCGTTTTGGATCTGAATTCGTGCGCGCTAATGTCCATCGTATTCCTTGTGTGCTGGTTAATTTGGACCCTTTTGTCGATAATTTATTGCATTTGTTGTTTACCCAAGCTCCAAATGCCTTGGAATACTGGGAAAGAATTGTCCCTTTGCATACTTGTTAGCTTATCGATGTCAATGTTCTGTCTTGTTGTTAGTAATAGTTGATTCTTCTAATTATTGGGACCTCGTTGAGATGCTCCCTTCACAAATGGGTGATTAACCAGTCTTGCTGCAAATTTAATGCCACAAAATTCTTCCATTTGATGCCTCGATACCTTAGTTAGTGATAGTGTAGACTGCATTAACAAGGGAGAACATTCATCTTGATGGAGGTGAGCTGGATTTCTAAAGATAACTACACAAGATTGTGGTCTGTTAGAAGTTAGACAACTATCCCATGGAAGACGCTAATAATTTATTTTACCTGATTAATTGTTATTATGGTTAGTCTGGCACTCATTTTATCGACTTGATAGGTTGGTTGTTCTGCTAGCTTCTTTAGGATGAACTTGTCCTTGTAATTGATTAGTAACTATATTCTTTTTCCCCTAGTTTGTCCTAGTGGGTGTAGCACTGATAGTAACGCAAGGGAGTGAAGTCGCATAGCTAATTTCCATTGTAATTTGGATACAGTGCACTGGGTTCATCTCCCTCAATGGCTAAGTTTTATGAAACAAGTTGGTTTAGGGTTCCTCAATCTATCATGTCTTTTCTATATGGTCCATTTGATCTGAGCTCTTCTTGCTGATGTGGATGGAGCATATCAATCAGCCATAGCGGTCACTGCATCTTCACTGGCCTTCTCCCTTGAGCCTGGCCTTCTTCCTTCAGTCCTTGCTGGCTCTGGCCTCCTGAATCATTTCTATATATTTCTCTGTAGCCAATGAATGTTTTGGAGGGCTCTAATTGAAGCATAATCTTGTGTATCATGGACATGGTGAGGTATGGTCCAAGGATTGAGGATATGGGGCAATGGGATACTGTAGGATTCCTCTTAGGCTGTTAATTCTTTGCTTGATTTGAAAACACTGCATGGCTTGATCTGCAAATACTAAACGTCCTATAAAATTGTAGTGGTTATGATATTGTGTCAACAACTAAAGAATGAGAAGCCAACAAATTTACATAGGGTGTGTTTAGTTCACGCCAAAATTGGAAGTTTGGTTGAAATTGGAATGATGTGATGGAAAAGTTGGAAGTTTATGTGTGTAAGAAAGTTTTGATGTGATGGAAAAGTTGGAAGTTTGAATAAAAAGTTTGGAACTAAACAAGGCCATAATGCCTACTAGTGATCTTTATCTTCTGCTGCCGCATGGGAATCTTACTGAGTTGCTGTGACTGCTGCTTTGCTAAACGCACCCTCTCTTTGTCCTCGAGCTATGACTAAGGTGGCTGCGATGGAAGCATGGCACCATGCACTAAACCTGTACTGTTGTTGGAAGAGGAAAAACAAAGTTTCAAGGAATGATGGCAGTTCAAGGGAACACCTCTAAGTGTCTAGACATTAAGAACTCTAAATTGACACAGCGAAGCAACTGCACCCTTGCTACCATAGCGTGGTTGTGGCAGAGCTGTGATGATGGCATGATACCCTAGAAGGTACCAATCATCTTCTACAGTGAGGCAGGTGATAATGGATGACAGTGAGGCAAATACTAAGGAAGCTCTTCCGGTTGTTACAGCCTCACCATTGTTATGACGCCCTGACATGATGCTGCATGGAGAACTGTCAAAATTGGCCAGTTAGTGGAGCATTTTTTTGCTCCATCTCATGATTCAAGACGCCACTGATCTCAAGATTCAATCTTCTTTTCAGGAGGTACTCCAAATTGGCCAATCCTTGTGTCATGAGAACTACTAGCAAGGTAGGATGCTTGCTATTTGTCAGTTGGTACGGATCTCTCCCCACATGATGGCCTACAACTAAAACTCTATAAGGCTCTGATTCATGGGTGGAGAAGAGTAGAGTAGATAACTCCTGTGTATTCAATGCCACAAATTTTTCTGTAAGCACCTGTCACCTAACAAAATAGTCACCTAACAAAATAGCAATCAATAATGTACCATCTGTCTGTGCCAACAACTACACGATAAAAGCCAACAAAATAGGAAAAGAATCCCTAAAGCACTAATAAGTAATAATCTTTATCTTATCTTCCGTTACTGCGTGGAGTTCTTTCATGTGATTGCTGTGCACCCTTTCTTGGTCCTTGTCGTAGGGCAAGCCATATCACCACCCTTACTAGTTTGGTACATTGTTAATCAATATTAGTATAATTTTATTTTGTTCCCCAATGATTATTGGTGACATACATTGTCTTATATACATTGCATCTGAAGTAATAGATGAGCAAGAAACTATGATTGAGGGTATGCACCTGATGTAAAAGGTACATTTCAATTTTCAATATGGGCTGTTCATTGTGAGAAAAAAACTAGCATAGCTAATCTAGTTTGGGTTGCGTGTGTTTTGATGGTGTTCTTATGTTGTTCATGCTTAGAGATGATCAGAATTAGGACTATGATCATGCAAAATTATAATGATGGACAGTACATCAACCAGCCATCTACTAAACATCTAGGGCCTATTTGGTAGCCCATGCTGCTGCAGCCCTGCAGGTGCACTGCAACAGCCATAGCACTAAGGTACAGCGCTGGTATACTAGTTACTGTTGGTATAGCTGCAGCCACAGCCCCATCAAGCTATGCTGAACAGCCCTCTAGTCTGAATATCCAAATACTACATTAAGTCGAATGGTACACATCATCCAATATATGCATATACAGTTGTGTCAACTCAGCTTATTTGCCTCATTTACCTGCATATATTTACATCTGCTAGCTACAGTCTTATTAGTTCCCTCGAACCTATAAAAATGATTATATATGTATGCAACAATTTATCTGGCAAATGATCATTATTGTCTTTCCTCACAATAGATTGATATGGTAGTACTCACAGAGTCACATATTGTTCTCTTACACGGTATTGTATGATCTTTATTCTACAATAGCTGTGCTAGGCACATACCAGAGATGAATTCACCATTCTTTATGTTTAAATCCTGTTGCTGCGTACACTCCTTTCTTTTCTTTTCTTTTTCTAAATTATATGTACTTTTTATGTATCGAATTTTGGAAAACTACATTCCAAAGGACAAGTTCCAATCTATTGTGCTGCTGTCGAAGCATCTTTTACAGAAAAATCGATAACGATTATGTTGCACTAGAAATATTGGGCCTCATCTAATATGTACTACTGGCATAGTTTTGTTACTTGGTTGTCACTAATTTTATTTTTTTACAGTGCCAAAATGGACACACTTTATGTTCAACATGCAAGGCTAGAGTCCACAACCGGTGCCCTACCTGCAGACAAGAGCTCGGTGATATTAGGTGCTTGGCACTGGAGAAAGTAGCAGAGTCACTCGAGCTTCCTTGCAAGTATTGTTCTTTAGGTTGCCCAGAAATTTTTCCATACTACAGCAAGATAAAGCATGAAGCACAGTGCAGCTTTAGGCCATATAACTGCCCTTATGCTGGTTCTGAATGTGCTGTGGCTGGTGATATTCCTTTCCTTGTTGCACATTTGAGGGACGACCACAAAGTTGATATGCACAGTGGCTGCACATTCAACCACAGATATGTCAAATCTAATCCACGCGAGGTTGAGAATGCGACCTGGATGCTAACAGTAAGTACTATAATAGCTCATAGTATTCATTTTTGGATACCTATTTACAAACACTGTTCTTATGATCTTTCCTCTCAATCAGGTGTTCCATTGTTTCGGGCAGTATTTCTGCCTGCATTTCGAGGCGTTCCAGCTTGGAATGGCACCAGTTTATATGGCCTTCCTCCGTTTCATGGGGGATGAGAATGAAGCGAGGAACTACACCTACAGCCTAGAGGTTGGTGGTAATGGCAGGAAGATGGTGTGGGAAGGCACCCCTAGGAGCATCCGCGACAGCCACCGGAAGGTGCGGGACAGCCATGACGGCCTCATCATCCAGAGGAACATGGCACTCTTCTTCTCCGGCGGTGACAGGAAGGAGCTGAAGCTGAGGGTGACCGGCCGTATCTGGAAAGAACAGACGAACCCGGATGGGGCCTGCATACCGAACCTTTGTAGCTGATGAGCAAAGCGTACGACAGATGAAACGATTTGTTGCTATTTGGCTGGCTTGTTATTTTTATCCATTGCCATGTCCTGTTTTCGATAGTCCAGTGATCGTGCCAGTGCTGTTGTATGTTAAGAAGCAAATTTTAGAGGTGTAAAACATTACTGTAAAGTAATATTGTGTATATCGAATTCAAGAAAATCCCACAAGTTGGCCAATAAACGTCTGTCATCCATCTGTTCTTATGCTGTTTACATCCTGCCTCGTATTCTTGCTTTCTTGAGGTAGAAAACAGGACAGTTTTGCAAGGAGACTGAAGTTCTGGATAATCTCTGGTGTTTATCTTGCAAGATTGGTCTAAAATAACCATGTACGTAGAATAACATTTATTGGTATGTAAGGAATTTTTGTCTTCTGGAACTCTAAAATACTCCTAGGAACAAAGCATGGCCATGTGGCCTGTATCTAAACTTCTGAAGTCCCAATCCGTGGTAGCTGAACTGCTACGGCAAGGCGCTACAGTGTATTGGAGTAGCAATTGAGCACTCAGATTAAAACCCTAAAAACAAACGGTTCAGATCAGCCAGGTACTGTAGCATCAATACTTCACTTTTCAGCTTGTACTGTCACATTTATATTGTAGAGGTTGATCATATCCCTAGGATTGTGAAGGGATGGTGCAGATTTCTCATAATTTAATTTACTACCTGTGCCTTTTGTACTCTAATACAGAGGATCCCAATCCGTGGTGGCTTTTGAGGGTTCGCATCTTCTGCTAAGAGCAACCACAATGTGGCATAGAGGCTGGTAGTAAGCAATAAAATAACCTTACTATTTAGGAACAAACATTGTGAAAGCTAGCAATAGCAATTACTAGGTAGTATGGCTACTACCAGCAATAAGAAACTAAACTATATTATTAGTACAGTGAATAGTGTAGGTGCAGGGTGTGGGAGGCTAGGGATTGGTCTTTTTTTCTATTGCGGGGCATACCTTATGTTCACCTTTTGCATTCACACATTGTGGCATATGTATTAGCTACTACCACTGATTCTTGGGCCCACCTTATTACCAAGTTTAGCAATAAGCATTTCTTTTTGCCTCTAGGGAAGAATGGCAAAGGCGCACTTATGAAATGTGAGGAGAGTTACATGCTATGCCATAGGTACAGTGATAAATATTGTTTGATTAATTTTTTGAGGCTGTTGTAACGATTGATCTCGTGCATCCAAACTTGATACAACTGCTGTAAATAGATAATGACATGGGGCACTGTAGCTCTCCGCCATTCCAACTCAGGGCATCTACAATATAAGGCACGGGTAGTAGTAGCCTTACGTAGGCTATACTGTCTAAAGCCACATATAGGAAACTCTACCCCCAATAAAGGATACTCTCAAATGGTTCTACAAAATCTGAGGGTACTAGTATCCCACAATACGTGTCTCAGCCCACAAAGCCACAGAGTTATTTTCCTCTTCTATCCTTTTTCTATTTAGCCTTTTCTTCTTTTGTTTTCTCCACCTCCTTGCCTTTTTCCTTTCGTCACCGTCTCTCTTTCTCTTTCATCGCCGCCTCTCTCCCTCTCTCTCGTTGCCGCGCGTCTCTGCCGTTCTCGTGGCCGCCCGTCTCCTCCGCTTCCGCCGCCGCCCGTCTCTGCGTGGTGGCCAACGGAGAGCCGCGCGCAGACGCGTTGGTCGACGGCGAGCGGCGCGAGGGGTGGGGTGGCCGACAGCGAGTAGCGGGTGACTGACGGCGCGAGAATGCAGGAGCGGGTGGAAGACAGTGTCGAAGCTTCTCTTCACTGCCTCTCTCCCAGATCTGTCATGCCGGCAGCCGGATCTGGCATGCCAGCGGTCGGATCTAGCCGACGTCGCCTCTCTCTCTCCTGCTGCCCGTCACCATCCACCACTCCGACGAGGGCGCGGGGCCTACTCCGACTCCGCCCACCGTTGGCTCCGCTTCACCATGCAGAGGTGAGAGGGGCAAGAAGGGAAAAAGTAGGGGGAGGAGGCGGGGGACGGGGCACCGAGATCGCCCAACGGTAGCATCGATTCGTGGCTCAAGAAAAGAGGATTGGAGGAGGTAGAGGCACCCGTTCCCCTCGTGAGGATCGCACCTCCCTCCAGTGGCACGGCTAGTGGACGGGAGATGAACGGCATGAGCAAGGATACGAGTTCAAGCTACGCATTGAACATGGCCTCATGGGATACGATCCCGGCTTTTGAACACTGTGCAGACAGAAACTGCACAGTAAGTTCCAAATACAATACCCAGCACAATCTTCACCAAGATCTATGGATAGATGCATTCCTGCAGTAGAACATAGTGCTTTACGCTAGAGATGAAAATGGCCAGAAATGAATATTACTTATATGAAAGCAGCTGTCGGGAATTTACTATATCTATAAATTTAATTATTTATTAACGTAAATTTGACGTTGACAGTAATTAGAAAATTAAAGTTTATATGTAACTATTACTAACCAAAAGATAGAAACGATATATATTTTATATTATGTTTTAAAAAAACCGTCTTACATGAATTTTCGTACTAACTCCATCCCCAAACATAGTAATTTTAAATTTATACCCTTGCCCTGTGCAGCCAAAGATTCGATGCACTGGAGGCACTTCAGAGTTCAGAGTTGCAGTCATTGTCCTCTACTGAGCTGCTCCGCCGTTGACTGCAGCGGTGACACAACGCAGTTACAGGTTCGGACGGCATGTCGGCACATCACCACAAGAGCTACAACCACAACAGGTACTCCTCCACTACGGACAGTAGGTACAAGTACGTAGTATTGCCTTGTAAGAAAAGGTTACACGCACACGAATACTAGCAGTATTCGTACAAGCCGTACAGGTACAGCTCGGTGTAAGGTTCGTTTGCCAGTGCCCACTGCCTAGCGGTGGGCAGCAGACATGCGCAGGTGGATGGATGGCTTTTTGTTGTTTTGCTCTCATCAGTGCCAGGGAACCTCACACGTTCGCCTCAACATTGCAAGCCTCTTGGACTCTAATGTCTCGTGCCTTATACTAGTAATTACTCCCTCCGTCCCATAATATAAAGTATTTTGAGTTTTCTTTTTTACTGTTTGACCACTCGCCTTATTCAAAAATTTTAAAATTATTATTTATTTTTTTGACCTATTTTATTATCCAAAGTATTTTAAGCACAACTTTACATTTTTTATATTTACACAAATTTTTTAAATAAAACGAGTGGTCAAACAGTGCAAGAAAAAACTCAAAATCACTTATATTATGGGACGGAGGGAGTACTACTCTCCCCGTCTCATTTTAGTGTAGCTATGAGCTTTAGTAACACCAATTATTTTATAATTAGTTTTTTCATTGTTATTAGATGATAAAGTATAAATAGTACTTTACGTATGATTTATTTTGAAAAACATTTTAAATAAGATGTACGGTCAAATGTTGAACACGAAATCTACAACTACATTTAAAATGGGATGGGGGAGACCCCATCCTAGTATGGACTAGATAAGGACGGTTCATTTCATCACCAAAATAAACCCGATTAAATTTTAGCTTTACTAAATATTTGATAAGGTATTAACAATCTAAACTTTGTTCGTATTAGCCTCCACTACTAAAGTTTGATAATTCTATAGCCTTTCTCGCAGAAAATTGATAAAAGTAGCAAGCCAAACATAACTTAAATATCTCAACATTATTAAATATTGACACTGGTAAAATTTATCATTGCTGAAATTTAGTAGGAATAAATCATGCATGAAAGTGAGCAACCCCATATAATAATAGTAATTGAGCGTATGCAATGCCGTAGTATGCCGACGTTCAAATGGTCTGTCCAATATTTGTGACACTTCCAAGTGGAAAATGACTCACATGTCTCACATGTGAGGAATCTCTTTGACTATGGTTGTGTTTGGATCCAGGGACTTTGTTCCTATCATATCGGATGAATTTAGAGTATTAAATATAGACTACTTATAAAACTAATTACATAAATGAGAGCTAATTCGCGTGATAAATTTTTTAAGCCTAATTAATTCATAATTAGCGCATGTTTACTCTAGCATCACATAGGCTAATCATGGATTAATTAGGCTCAATAGATTCGTCTCGCGAATTAGTTCAGTGTTATAGAATGAGTTTTATTAATAGTCTACGTTTAATATTTATAATTAATGTCCAAACATCCGATATGATAGAGACTCCCTATCTAAATAGGGTCTATGGCACCATAACGAAGTAGTCATTTATTAAAAAAAATGGGATTAACAGCACTATGTACATATTAAAAGTTGAGTAAATTGAGAAAAGATGAAAATTTTCATTTTACAGCTATGTACTTTTGTGAAAAATCTGAAAACCAATACTGAACTTCAAAACCAAATAATATTTATTTAGCCTGTGTTTACAATACTTTTTCCCCTAGCCCAAAAATTAACTGGTTTTGAATGGTATTGTGCTAACATGGCTACGTGTTCACTACTAGTGGTAAAATCAAAAGAAAAAAAATGAAATAATTTCACATGAGAAGGAAGAAAAAAAAATTCTCCATTGCAAAGGCAGCATGAATGTTACTACTACTCCATCCAAAAATACAAGAGGCTTTATGGGTAAAATCCCTAATCTTTTAGATAAGAGATATTACCATCCAAATATCGTACCTCTTGTCACCGTATGATTTAATCAACAAGTTTGATCATTGGGTAGGATTATTATTACCAGAGTAAATGAAGATGAGAAACGATTGGCCGCACTCGCACGTGCTCCATGGTTGACACTATAGTGAGTGTAGTGATCACCCAAGTGAGTGACCAGCAATGCACTAACCACTCCCCTCGTCTGTATCCTATCATTGTCTGATCTCTCAAGATCCAACAATTATGCTCACCAAACAATTCAGGCTACTAAAGTAAATTACAGCAAACTGCCGCGAGACACGGTTAAATGTCCAATCATGTCCACTAAATATCAGCTCAATCTGGCGAATATGCGAGAATAACATTTTCAACTTGCATTTCTGAGAATATTTCAACTTGCATCCAAAGTCATAAGCATCTAACTGGAACTGATTCCGATGCAAAAATGTCACAATTATTCTGCAAGAATGGATAAGATTACAAGTCCAAAACATAATTTTGATAATACATTGTAATTATAAGCTTTAATTTCCTCACTATGGTTGCTTAGCAAAACAAATTGTCCAACTGAACATCTCAAGAACCAAATCTTTCTTTGGCCTGGACTCTGAAAACACCTAGAAAATCTATTAAAATTACAACAAGAAGGCTGCAGAAATCTACCAAAGATGAGAAGATTCAAGAGAAAAATACACACTCAGAAAATCATCACAGAAAGAAGAAGAATTCTAAGTTACAAATCAAACTAACTTATCTTACAAATTTGACACGAATTCACTGAAGAGATTGACAGGGGACACCACCGATTAACCCCAAAATGGGCAAATGGAGGAGAGTCAGATCTTGGCCTGGTCTTGGTCAGCACCGGAATCCGAGCACGCGGCCGTCCGCCGGCGAGACGCCGATGCGGCACACCTTGGCGGCGACGACGTGGTGGGTGAACACCCGGAGGATGGTCACCTTCCCTTTCACCACCAGCAGCGAGTCCACCTCCATCACCGGCAGCGCCGCCACCTGCTGCTGCTGCGGCGGCGGCTGTTCTTGCTGCAGCGCCACCGCGCCCACCGCCGCCGGTGAGGGGCCGGAGGCGGGGACGGTGATTGTCTGCGCCGGGGAGGAGGAAGCGGCGGCGGTGGCGGAGGAGGTGACGGCGAAGGCCGGGACGGTGAAGCTGGTGGCCATGTACTGCGTGCGCCCCCCGTCGATCTGGCCGGCGGGGATGTACATCGAGCCGACCTCGCCGCCGGCGTAGGCGACGCGGAGCGAGCTGTCGTAGTGCGCGAGCGGGGAGCGGTTGGGGTTGCGGACGGAGGCGAGCTGCTGGAACGTGAAGGCGACGGTGCCGTTGCGGGAGGCGAAGGAGGGGAGCTGCACGGCCGTCACGGCGATGGCCGGCGCCTGCGGCCGGTAGAGCAGGAACAGCGCAGCCGCGGCGCCGCCCGCGGCGAGCAGGATGAACAGCGCCGCCACGACGCAGGACGCCGCCACGGAGGAGAAGGGCGAGGGGCGGTGGTAGCCCGCGGCGGCGTAGTAGCGCGGCGGCTCCGGCGATCTGGCCATGGCGAATCTTGCGGTGGTTCTTGGCCGGCGAGGCGAGGAAGGGAAGCGAGCTGAGAGAGTGGGAGGGTAGTCGCTAGTCAGGAGTCGGCTAAAGTTCACCGCTTCACACGACACGAGCGGAAAAGCGATGGAAGCGAGGTTGGTGTGTTTTGATGGTGTTTTTAGATGGTTTTGGGTGGCTGAAAAGGTTTGTTTTAGTGGTACCAGTAATACTGTAGCCGAGCACTTTGACTCGAGTTGACTTGAATTGACGCTTTACCAGGTTGCTATAACTATATGTTCCTTCTTTTCCCTTTTCCTTCATTTGTCTTCTACAAATCGAATGTTCGATATTAAGAGTGTGTTTGATTGTATCTGTTTAGTCTGGCTCATCTTTCTCATCCAGATTGAGCTCGTCCTAGTTAAGGGGATACACATCCAATTGTTTGGTTGTTTGTATTAGTCTAGCCTGGCTTGTATGAGATATTGTTTGGTTGTCTGCACGAGAGATACGGTTCAGAGGAGAATTTGTTTGGTTGGTTGTATGATACGCATGTATGATGATCCAGAACTTAACTTTTCATATATCAATCTTCTTATTGTTAGTAAAACAATTCATCAATTGAGCTAATGTAGTGGCGAACCACGGGTGGTGTTCTTTTCTCCTGAAGATGAAGATAAAGATGAAGATTAAATGTTTTACACAAAACAAGGTGGTATTAACATATAATTAATTGAGTTTTAATTATTACAAACTTGAAAAATATATTAATTTGATATTTTTAGAGCAACTTTCATATAGAAAGTTTTTGCACGAAACACACCGTTTAGCAGTTTGAAAAACGTACCACGAGTATCCAATTTTTGTTGGAGAAAAGAACGAGGTTTATATTAGTGACTAATTACGGGCTTAGAGAATGAGAACGGTAGAAAAAAAAGAAAAAGCGCTCTCGCGTCCCGTCGCACTCCTTGCCACCGAGCATGACCCCCACTGGCAGCCTGCTCTGGCGAGCCCGATTGCTCACCATCGTCGTAATCACCGCATCCATCACTTCCTGCCGCTCGCTGCACGTCTTGCTCCACTACTCTCTAGTCGCGCCGACACGTCGCTCCCTGTCATCGTCGTGGTGGCGATGATTGCCGCTGTTGCTCGCCGCCGTCGTGGTGGTCGCGATGGTTGTTGCTGTGCTCGCCCCGTCGCCGTCGTGGCAACCAGATCTGACGGGAAATGCTGGAGGTGTCAGATGCGAAAGGGATTATGTGGCAATAGCGCGGACACCAAGGAATGGATGGGGGAAGACATCGGTGATCGCGAGACAAGGTCGATTGTGAGCTTCCAAATCTAGAATCCTCTCCTAGTCTTCTCCTTCCTCCCGCCCATCTCCTTCCTCTCGAATCTAGCTGAGGTCGAGCCCGGCGATGAGCAATGCAGCAGCAACAAAACCTAGCCTTTTCGTTTTCGGGGAGAAATGAGAAAGGGGCAAGGTGGTGACCAGTGACCCCTTCGCACCGCTTGCACACGCGGCTGCAATACGTGCACGTGCGGGTGCAGCGTTGCTGCACGCGTTGGGCCAGGACAAGCAACGAAGCTCAATTCGCCCGTTCCTACTTAGCATATCTGAGGGGGCACTTTTGCATCTACTCGTCCTGGCTCCAAGACATTTACAGGCAACCAAATAGGCTGCAAGTTGCGATGAGGGTGAGATTGCAATTTGTGCAATCTCACTATGTGGAGAAAGTCTTAGCCAGCTCATACTCCTTACGATATTAGTGTACTATTAAGGAAAAACAAAGAATAGCATGGGATTAACTGAGATACTGTAACGTCCCGCCTCTCCTAGGCCGGGCCCGCTTACATCTGGCAGCTTTCATAGGTCATAGATTGCCCTCACAGACCAACACATGTCTTTTCTGCACACTTTGTCCTCACTCGGGAAGAATTTCCCGGTCACCCTCACAGACCAACACATGTCTTTTCTGCACACTTTGTCCTCACTCGGGAAGAATTTCCCGGTCAGTCACCCATCCTAAATTGCTTCAGGCCAAGCATGCTTAACCCTGGAGTTCTTTGAAAATCGGCTTCTGGAAAAGAAGTTACAACTTGTTGATATGAGTATTCTATTAATCCTATTAAGCCCTGTGCCGGAATGTTGCAGATACTCCCAAATCATTGGTTCATTAATGTATTTGGCTAGTGCAACGAGGCCTCACATCTCATTTGCTACGAGCAAGATGAGCCGGTTTTATTTCAAATCCGGGAGATGATCACTGGCAATACTCTGGAAAAGGTAATGCGCTATCTTAAAAGCACAGTGGGCTATGGAATTCACTATACTAGGTACCCAAAAGTACTAGAGGGTTATTGTGATTCAAACTTGACATATGGTGCTGATGAGAAAAACCACAAGTGGATATGTGTTCACACTTGGAGTTGGCGTTGTTTTCTGTAAGTCTTGCAAGCAGACCATCTTAACGAGGTTAACAATGGAAGCAGAACTCACAATATTAGACACCGCCACGATTGAGGCCGAGTGGCTTTCTTGAGCTCCTGATGGATTTGCCGGTGGTTGAAAAACCAGTACCAGCTATCCTGATAAACTGTGATAATCAAACATTGATTATTAAGGTGAACAGTTCGAAGGACAATATGAAGTCATTTAGGCATTTAAAAAGAAGACTGAAATCTGTCAGCAAGCAGAAAAACTCAGGAGTGATAGCGTTAGACTATGTCCAGATAGCTAAAAATTGGCAGACCAGTTTAGGGACTATCACGTAATGTGATAGATAATACATCGAGGGAGATGGACTTAAGACCCACTTGAGTTACACAATAGTGATAACCTATCTTATGTGATCGGATATCCTGTGAATTAGGATGACAAAACAAACTATTGAGTGACTGCGAGGAGAGACCCTGAAATGGGTCCATCTCTATGATGTACTTCTATCCTTTTCTGTACGGCAGGATGGTGTATACCTTAATGTCATCCGTGTGGTTTTCTTAGGCAGAGATATTGTCCTACAAAACATCTTACAAGCAACACAACTATATAAGTTCGACTGCTAGTCACAGTCTATGATGTTTGCGTGATCTCCAGAGAAAGGCTTGGAATTTGAACATAGGGGACGCAAATGGTAGCCTAGTATCAGTTAAGGAGTTGAGTAAAGCCTGACTACACAAGACTAATAATTCAAGGTATAGCCCATTGTTCAGTTGCGGTCTGGTGTATCTCCTTTTCTAGGTAGAAGTTCAACTTAACAGTCTCCACCGAAACACTGGTATAACAAATAAGTGCAGAACTGAGAACATTTCCTGTGAGCCCTGAAATTTAGTAGGGATTGTTGGAATAAATAGGCTAAGCCCAATTTATTTCCAGTAAATTTCATTGGCTCACAATTAATGTTATAGCATTAATACCACCTTAGAAATTCAAGTGAAAAAATCTCAACTTAAATACGGAGTTATTAGAGAGCCCATATTGACCAATTGAGGTGGTGGTAGGACTGCTACACGTGCACGCGCGTGCCGATCCGGGTCGGCCGGGGCGAGGACGAGGCTTGGCTTGCGTGGCCGCTCTCTCGTTTTGCAACGGCTGATTAATTCTGTACTAACAAGCGACTTGATTTCGCTATTAACCATATAATTGAATCGGATTGATTTTGAGATTACTCCTGAACGTTACTCGTTGGTGCGCAGTATAAAAATGCCCACCAGGACAGATAGAAGGGCTCATCCCATTCTGCTCAGTTCATCTCTTGCTTGATTCTCCTCGAACTCTTCCTTCTCTGTACATGTGTAGCCACCACGTCCCCGGTTCTGATCACCTGCACGTATTGGTGCTCATGACGAGCAGGTGCCTCCAGAACTCCGTCCGCTTGCATACCTGCACGGGTAGGTGGGCGATCAAGTTTTTAGGAGTGTCTGGGCATGACTGCTCCTATTCCCGATCTGCTTCTACTTCCTCGACTACATTGCAACCTCTTCGTCGGCCTCTTCTTCCTCTACATCAACATGCCGAACACTGGTACTGGTGCTATTGGTGGAAGCATAGGAAACGACAGTGGCATTGCTGGAAGAGACGGCACTGAGAACGACAACACCAATGGAGACAATACAATTGCTTTGTCATCCACTGGAGCGTTCTCCAAGTATTTCTCAATTCTTCTATTGGTGCTGAACATGTTGTTAGAAGCTTTTCTCTCTTTAGCATTTTCATGTTTATCACCATGATCGCTTTCTTATATGAATGTCATGATTATTACTCAAATTTTCTAGATTAAAAATACCAATTTATGACCATATTTTCAACACAGTATTGATCTACAACAGGTAGTATGTGTGTTTATAGATCTTCAGTGAGTTCAACATAGAAAGGCAGGAGTATTGGAGTAAGAAGAGGATAAGAAAAAAGGAAGATGAATCAGGAGAAAAGAAGTTAACGGGATGACTGGTGACCAGTGGCGGAGGACGGCAAAAAATCTAGGTATGGTGGTGTGCCCATGAACTAGCACGAAAATTAGATCATGACAAGAAGAAAGGGAAAAAAACAATCCCAATGCACGAAATTATATGACGCAATCTCAATTCTCAAGCATGGCAATAAGCACTAGTCATAAGTTCATAATTCATCACCCATTTGTAAAAAGTGTAAATAGAAGAGGCACTCATAAATACCTCAAGATTGCAGTTGTCAACAATACATCACATGTAAGAACGAACTAGTGAGGATAGATAGACATGTAGTGATGTAGAAACTGCAAAATACTAGTAAATAGCAAAGATTGATTAGTATACTATAGTCTCCTCTGCCTGCCTCACTGCCTGGATGCCTGCTGGCTGCTGCCCTTCTGCCGTGCTGTGCAGCTCAGCCTGCGCTGGCCGCCTGCGGGCTGCGGCCTGCCTCCCGCGGCCGCCGCACCGCTGCCCAGTGCGGCCGCGGGAGATCAAGGTATGGCGAGCGCCATACCTCGCCATACCGACTCCTCCGCCACTGCTGGTGACGTTTAGTCTTCGTTAAACCTCCGTTACATGATAATTACGTGCGGTTACCTTGCTACGTGCGGTGCGGTGCCCTGCACGGCTGCACCTGAGCCGAACTGGTACTACAAGAGGTCGACGCGACGCGCTGTGCAGAGGAGGCGCCAAGGAGAGCCGCGTCGCGTCAGGGCGTGCAACACCGGAACCAGGACGAAGGCGAGGAAACGCGGTTCCCTTCCCTTTCTTTGGATGGACTGGACGGAGGAGAGTTGGGCTTATGGGCAGGATTTCAACAGTGAGGACGTATTGGGCATTGGTAACATGGGCCTGCGGCCGAGATATTAAAACTGGGCCACGATTGAGCTGCATGGTGGAAAGAAGATCGGACGGAGGCTGATGGCTGGAATAATTAACAATGGCTTACTCCATCCGTCCCATAATATAGTAATCTAGGCCTGGATAGGCTATATTATGGGAACGGAGAGAGTAGTTATATATGTTTAGAAATAATAGATTTATATGTTTAAATAATATGAAAATGATGTTGATATAATAATTTGACATTGCTTGCATATTAAGTTCTAAAAATAAAAAAAATGTAAATAATATGTCATGTTTGCATGACATTTAAAATACTCGAGGTAACAATTGCTAATGGATGATGATGTGGTACAATTGCATCTTGAGCTTTAAAAGTTAGTGGATATCAATTTTATAGTAAGATAGGATGTGGCTGCACAGAAAAGAGAGAGTCGGTATTGTATCAGTTAGTGAGAAGTTGTATAGATATATAGAATTCCTCATTACATAACCGCCTGGGAAAACCGTGTGGCCTTATTAAAAATCATGACCCCGTTCGTTTCAGGATAAATTTTTGGATTAAAATGATACGCTTTTTAAACTGCTAAACGGTGTATTTTGTGTGAAAATTTTCTATATGAAAGTTGTTCTAAAATATCAGATTAATCCTTTTTCAAGTTTGTAATAATTAAAGCTCAATTAATCACACGTTATTATCACATCGTTTTACGCTAAACACTTAATTTTTATCTTCACCTTCAGAAGATTCAAGAACCACTCCAAGTGTCCACGTTCACTATACAGCTCTCTTGCTTGTCTGTTCTCTCTCTCCACACTTCCTCTCTCCCTCAACTCCTCTTCGCCTCTCGCTTTCCTGATCTTTTCCTGCATTGACCTTGATTCTGGTGACGAGATAGCGGCACCAAAGGGGAGGTTCATATAGGCGGCGTAGGGGAGGGGCACCCGTGTCCAAGGAGAGGGCCGACAGTGGTGGAGGAACAGGACTGTGGCAGCATGAGAGTTCCAGCACCCGACCACTCCTGCTCGTTGGTTTCGTCGGTGACGATATGGCTTGGGCCCGACGGTGGGGACGATGAGAGTTCTTGTTTTTTTTTTTTGTGGATTTTTTATTTGTGGATTGTGGCTTCCCTCGTTGTGATTGTGGCTCTTTTTGTTGGATTTGTGGATTTGCTAGAAATTGATGTACTGATCTAGAAATCGATTTGCATATGGATTTTTTTGATTTGGCGGGAATTCTCAGGTTTGGTATGAATTTTATTATTTGTTCGGCAAAAAGAACTTTGCACATCGGTTCTCTTAACCAAGCCGTTTGAAAAAAAATCAATCTATTAGGTGTTCCTTTCAAAGAATCACATTTAAAAATTTAAATCGATTTTTAAATACGGTTTGTTATTAAGAGGGCTGTGTGAAAAAAAAATCAATTTCCAAATGCAGGTGTCGAACCGCCGGTGAAAATATTGATTTCTAAAGTCGTTGGCTCATTGCAGAGGGGGACGGTAAAACCCGCCTCAACAAATCGGTTTTGCCCACCCAAAGAAATCACATTTGTAGTGTAGGATTGATAAAAACCAAATAAACCTACCAGAGGAGGAGGGGGTGAATGGTAGGGAAACAAAAACCCAAAATCTTTTGCGAAATAAAATATTTATCTCAAACGGAGTAGATGACGAAGTCCTGTCACCGCCAGTCATACTGCCCACTACCCACCGATCAGATCATCGTTGTATGACTGGTCAGACCGTGCGCACACCTGCGGTCAGACCGCCGCACTCTCGCCGGTCAAATCGCTACCTTGCCTGCTGTTAAACCGTCGGAAACTAGAAAAAACTGGTAGATGATAAACTCAAAGATGTAGATTGAATCTTGACTTTATTGCATTAACTAGTGTTTACAAAGTGCACCAACAGTAGTCCTCACTAAAATCTCGAACTAAACTCGAAATCCTAACTTTCTCTCAACTCAAGTCTCTCCAAAACCGATACTGGAAGGCTACACCCTCACTATCTATTTATACACGAGGTAGGTTGTGCAAAGCCCACGAATCTAACACAACTTAGGACTCCCAACCACGTGGGAAACCCTCTCTTGCAAGTATACAACTTATCCCTTTACTTATCTCCATCAATCTTCCCAAATTTAGACTCCCTTCCAAATTCGACTCCTCTTTCTATACACACACAATCCCTCTTATATACCATATGGATTCTTCATCACCACGTGCATTGTTCTCCAGCCTTTTAGCATCCCGCATGATCTCTTGATCTCTAGACGTCTACTTCTCCCAAGTCAACTCTAATCTATCACCGACAACACTCTCCCAAGGCCTCAAGCAACACCTGCACATACAACAACCAAGAACCCAACTTAACTGACATTAGTATAACAATATTATCCATATGCATAGGAACCATCTATAAGTCAAATCCCTGAAGGAAACATCCAAAACCGATAAGACAACCTGAAACCGACAATGAACAGGAATCTGCCGGTTAGGCCGTCAGGCTGGCCAGTCTGACCGGCGGCACCACCCGGGGTCAACAACAACATCACTTCACAAAAGCAATCATCTATATAACTCTGAAATATCATCGCAAGAAACCAATCTTTCACACATGAAACATTAAAACCACCAATGCTTTCATCACACAAAATCTAAATCAACTCCTTGATTTTACATATAGTAGGGCATGTCGATAGCACCTGCTGTTACGGTAGATGTCATGCGTCCATCCGCTGTCAACGTGTTTAGGGTGTGTTTGGAAAATGGGTTAGGAGAGGTGGGATTGGGAAATGGAAATGAATAGAGACATAGTATGAAATAGGGTGAGAAGAATAAATGGCTTACCCTTTAAGGGATGGGAAATCATATCCCAAAGTCCCAAACCCATGTCCCAAAGACAACCTTACAGCTTAGTGACCAACAGTAAAAGAAGACACCAAGGACAAGCCCATGTTGGATGGCTATAAAGAAGGAAACTTGATTATCTTCCGATACGAGGAGCAAAGCGAAAGTTTAGAATCTAACAAAAAAAAATCTAAGCAAGCAAGTTTAGAATCGAACAGATCACCACCAAAGCATGCATTGGATCCATGCATGGCATAAGGTACTTGCTTGCAGCATGCAACTCATGTCGGCCTACTGAGCACAATATATTATACTATATATTTTTTCAAAAGGAAAAGCAGCCTCCAACTCTTTTTCTTCCTTCTTCCTCTACGTTGTCGTAGTGTCATCGATATGATGTTTGGGCCACCGCCGTCCGCCGGTGATAGCATTAATATCCCCGACATGCCAACCATTCGTACCATTTTCCCTTTCAAGTAACCCCACTTACGGCCTTACGGGCATCTGGAGCCGAACAAGCTATTGTGCGCATTATTCGTGAAGCATTTGAAGTCGTACATATCATATCCTTGGTTTGAATCTGTCTTTCCTCTTGGTTCCATTCCATTCGGCATGCACATTGGTCTCAGTGATTCTCTGGCTGCTTAATTTGTTGCAGGCGGCGGAATGAATAATCGCAGGAGCGAGCTGGGAGGATCGGCGATGCAGAGCGTACCGCGGACATGGAGTCATCAGCGGTCTGATTCGACCATCAACGATGTCGCGATAACCCAGGCAGTGATCGGGAAGCTCGTCACCGGTGTGGGCTACCTGTCGCTGACGTGGTCGACGGTGGTCCTCCTCGGCGGCTTCGTCTCCACGGTGCCCATTAACGAGTTTTGGTTCCTCACAGCTATCAGCCTAGTGCTTGCATCCACGTAAGTGGCCTCTCATTCATTTGAAAGCCCAGCCATTCGTATATGCCTGTGATTCGTGCTTTGACAAATGTTCAGCTGATTTATTTAAACATATATATACGCCTATGATACATCTTTTTTAGGCAAAACAAGTACTTCCTCCGTTTCACAATGTAAGACTTTCCAGTATTTCCTCCATTCATTTAGATGTATGTTAAGATTCATTAACATCTAAATATACGTGAGTTCTTACATTGTGAAACGGAGGAAGTAACAAATATAATCGGCAATAATGCTTTCTGTTAGCAACTTTTTTTTTTGTCACGCCGAGCAATCACATTAATGTTGACACCTAATGCTTTGCATTGTTACGGAGTTATCAACAGCCTCGAACTAAACCAAATCAAATCAAGATGGGTTTTGTAAAATTAAACCAGCTAGCGGAGCTTCTTAGTTGGGATAGGGATAACCACTCGTCTCATGGGCAAACGGAATATTTTTTGAACAAACCTACGAACGGGTAATCACACTCTCGTGACAAGGACGGACGGCTTTCAACATAAACCGATGAAGATGGATGAAAACTAGACTAGAACTAAGTAAAAAGTAGATGTGATAATGAAAAATGATTCAATTGGCTAATTGTGTTAAAATTAGATTGGTGTCTCAATTGAATGGGCCTTGGCCCTTATAAAGAGGTTGGTCTTGTCTCCTACAAGACCTCCTCCATGTTAAAATCAAGGTAGAGACCAATTAGAACTTAGAAAGTACTTTCCCAAGCAAGAAAAACCAAGACCCGATGATATTCTAGTCGGAGTAAGACTCAGCCGGTCTTATTGGCCAGATGCCGCTGGTCAGACCGACCACATACCTGCGGTCTGACTAGCCTCAAGGCAATGGGCAGATCGGCCTCCCGTGGTGGAAACCGGGTACTTCCAAATCTGGCCATGTTTTCCTATTTCGTGTTTAGGTGTCAAATTTGGGCGTTAACACTTCCATCGAGTGTTAGATGAGAGGCACACGAGCGGATGTCACGCCCAGAAATTCATTATCCGAATTTCAAGCAGAATATGTATTAAAATCTCTGTCCAGGACCAGCCAGAGTACATAAACGACAAATTAATAAACAGATCCACATCTTACAAAAATAGTAAATAATGCTTACAAACTCAGCAGAAATAAAGAAATAATCTAGACTTAATCTTCACGACCAAAAGCGTTGCATCCTCCATAAAACCACAGGCATCCTCAATGTCCGGAACAAGCTCAATCCTCATAGAACTCACCATGTGAACCATTCTCTGTCTCTGTATTAGGAAAAATAAAGCAAGACTGAGTACCAACCACCGTACTCAACAAGTCATACCAACGGGAAGGTATGATGCAAGATATTCACAAAGGAATGGCCATAAGATATTTGTAATAAAAGCAGCATTTATAAATCATAATTTGAATACAGTAAAACAATATATAATTAAGCAATATTAAAATATCACTGCCCAACGCTAAACCACATTGCAATAGGCCCAACCAAACCACCTAAACTACACCAGTTCATTAAGTCATATTATTAAGAATGAGACTAATCACGGTGAGCTGGTTGACCGCCCAATAACCGGCACGACTATTCGAATAGTTTTAACTCTGATCAGAGGTGTACAATTTTATCCACAAGACACGATTCCACACATGTTACCATGCGCTGAAGACTACCGCGATACTGCAAAGGGAGAAACCGTGACAAAACCCTTCATATAACTCTCCCTAACCGAACATACCCACCTCAGCTTTCACCCCCTCCTTTTTAGCCAAGTCGGGCAGTCCCCTCTCGTGCCTAGGTAAATTCGGAAACAACAGAGACCAGAGCTAGGTCTGAACTTCACCATCGCCTCTACCCTTGCCATGGTATGTCAGCTAGGTTAAGTTATACTCTAGATTTAGCTTGGAGCCCACGCTAGCCTGTGATAAGTACGGTTATATCTTCCAGGGATTCCCGAGAACCAATCCTTAATTGTCATGGCACGACTTCCAAAACCATACACCCACAACCCACCATTAAAGCATATTTTTGTTTAATTAAACCTTAACCATGGTGGTACATCATCATATAGTTAAGGACTAATTATAGTGAATCTCATTATGAACTAATTGATCTAAGCATGGCTAAGCATTCCTAAACCAATCATCTAGTCAATTATATCCCAAGCTATCAATGGCATAAGATATCAACAGGCTGAGTACGATAGGCATCCATCCCACATGACATTCTAAAATAATGCAATTTAATAGAAAGCATGGGATTTTATAAAATAGGTTCAACATGATCAATGTTGTATGTATGACTTGCATTGCTCTTGAGCTGACGGAACCGCAGCAACCACTTCAAAATAAACTGGAGCGTCGGAACTGTCGGAATCTAAACGACAAACAAAGCATACAATAATACATCAAATAAGTCTGTGGTGGATATTTTAATGAATTCACTGCAACTTTAATGGATTAAAACGGAGCTCAGATTATTTAGATATGAATTTTAGAATATGAGATGTGTATTTACTATTAACCGAAAAACCTTAGTCCATTATTACACATTAAGAGAAATAAGTCAATGAGTCAACACCAGTAAGCAAGCCTCACGGGATATCAACTCAATGAGTCAACCCACCGTGACATGGGACCACTCAAACGGTCAACTGAACCGACGAACGGAACTGATGGCTTAGAACGACTCTAAAACTAAAGAACGACTCGGGACGACCGAACGAACGAGGCTTTGGACTATACTTCATGCGAACGAACGATTAACGACTAGCGAATGGCTGCGGCAAGACCGGTAGACTTAACTCGGTTTGCGGCAACGACCCGGTACGGCAAACGGTAGGCCGGTAGCGACTCGGGTTGACGACTGCGGCTAGGCAACTCGGCTACCGAGCGACAAGTGGCGGTGTCACGATCTAGCAGCGATACGACTATGGCAAACGGTGATAACCGGCGGCAGCGGTGGCAGCGCGGGACAGCGGCGACGCTCAGCGGCTGGCACGACAGTGGGCGGCAGCGGCGCACGGTGGTGGCACTCGGCAGCGGGTGGCTGCGGCTAGTGGTTGCGGCAGCACAGCACAGCGGCGGCGCGACTGCGGCTAGCGGCTGCGGTGGCACGGCACAGCGGCGGCGGCTTGACAGTGGTGCAGCAGCGGCGGCGGCACAATTAGGATTAGACCCACTACGCAAATAGGAAATTAAAAACCTAAACTAGGAGATCACGGTTAGGAACCTCACCAAACCTAGATGATCGGGGAGGAGGAGATGGCAACGATGATCCGGCGGCACACACGGAGATGACAGCGACGCTAGACAATGAGGGATTAGGTTAGATTAAACCCTAGGAACCTCACACAATGACAAACCATACCGGCGGGAGAGGAGGACGGCTCACCAGCGACGCAATGACGACGACGGCGGGAGGCAGCTAGCGGTGGCGACACAGCGACGGTGGTGGCTAGGGCGTAGGGGAGGCGATGGCTAGGGTTTTGCGGTGAAGGAAAATAGAAAAAAACGGAGGGGTATGGGAACTTAAATAAGAGGATGCGGAATTAGAGTAGGTTTAGATTAGGTGGGCCCGGCGGCGCGCAAGGGGAGGGGGAAGGCGGCAGCCGGCCGAGACTGGGAGGGGAGACGCGCACGTTTAGTAAGAGGGGGAGAGGGACTCAGCTAGGGAAAGGGGATGGGATTTGGATACGAATAAGAGGGGACCAAAAAAGGAAAGGAAAGGAAAACCAATGCGGTGCCATTTTGGGAAAGGAAAAGGAAACAGGACCGGAAAAAGAATATGACTCGGTTCAACATACAAAACGAAACCGTGGCGGCAACGGGGTTGGTGGATACTGTCGACGAGTGATACTCGCAGACCGGAGGAATAGGGTATTGGGGTACGTTGGAACAGGGATCTACGTAGTATGATATCAAAACAGACAAAAGACAAGGATTATACTGGTTCAGGCCCCTTATCAGGTAATAGCCCTAGTCCAGTTTATATGGGATTGATGATGATGAGAACAGATTACAATTCAAAGAGAGTAACCGAACAGGTGATACCGATGAGATCGTAGTCGAGGGATTCGACGAGATCTCCTGGTGAGTTGGCTCTGTGGACTCCGGCTTCGTAAACTTTGGTGGGTGTGTTGGCGATGAGATGCGATGCCCATAGCCTATCCCTAGGGGTCCCTTTTATACCGTGGGATACCTTGACCCTCAAGTAAGACTTGGAGATTATGTAAACCGACACGATATACTAGAGATTTTACCCCTTCCGAGTAAGATTTCAGCAATTCCTTAACTCGTAGAGATATTTCCGATAATTTGAGGTAAATTTCTAACGGCATATCCGGAAACCAACCGTATACGTGAGGGTATACCTTATTGGTATATTCCGTAAGTCGTAGGACAGAGGGTATGCCTTATCCTTAACACTGACAGATACAGCATACCACAAACGGGGAGAGTGAACTGGGGACGGTTCACAACCAAAGAAGAGTGGGGAAAGAATTATTAATTCAACTCCTAACATTTTAAATTAACTTCATTAATTCCTTTGCTCTGAATATTCTGTTGAACATCCTGTTAGTGATTTAAAGCAAAGAAAATTCGAAAAAAAATCTCCGTGACAATTCTGATTATTAAACACATTGTTATTTAGAGTTTCCTCCTGGTTAAGAAAGTAATTTCTATAGATGATTTAGCAATGATTTAGCAAATACGGAAAAGGGGAAAACTCCGGGTGTGACAGCGGTCGCCCTGACCAACGCAACAATGCTTGTCCGCTTGGGGCCGACTTACAATAGACTCATTAGCGTCAACTAACAAGATGTTATATATCTATCAAGATTTCTTGTTAAACTTTTTATGTACCCAAGGTTACCCTATCATGGGTGATATTAGTTAGTGATATTGGTGAACTACTTTTCTAGCTAGTTCCGCCCAGGGTTCCCCTAACCGTTTTCGGGGTGGTTACCAACCCCCCCCTA